ATAGAAATATAGAGGAATTGGATAAGTGAGGGGAGCTGAGAGATCAGATTCTGATTGACAAGGCCATCCCTATTGCAAGAGTAGATTCATTGACAAGCTCTCACCATGACATGCCATTAACCTGGATATAAGTAAGAACATGTATTCTGATTTCATGTTCACAAACTCCACTTCTGACTTCTCCCATAGGTCAGCCTAATGAAGAAAATAAGGTGGATAATCTTCCATTATGGTTCACATGGCACATCTAATTTTCATGGGAAATTAATACTTTGGGATTCTGGGCATAGACCTCACTGTTATTCCTTTTCTACCTCTGAGATGGACCTGGGCTCTCTCTTGGTGTAATGGAGAAATGAGTTCTGTGGCTCAAAGGACGTGTCTCTTTTGGAGACAGCCAGCTGATCTTTCTCTGAAAGCAACACACTAACATTCCTGTGCTCTGGATAAGCCGGTTTCTTTGAAAAGAATTTCGACTTTTGTTTTAGATTCAGAGGGTACATGTGCAGGTTTGTTACCTGGGCATATTGTGTGACCCTGAGGCTGCAGCATGAATGATTCTGTCACCTAGGTGGTGAGCATAGTAGCCAACAAGTAGCTTTTCAGCCCTGGCCGCTCCCTGCCTCTCTCCTGCCACAGCCCCTGTCCCCATCTTTATGCCTTTGTGTGTATCCAGTGTTTACATCATACTTATAAATGAGTGCACGCAGTATTTGGTTTTCTGTCCTGCATTAATTCACTTGAAGAAGCTGTTTCTTCCCCCCTTTAAAAGTCTGTACCCATGCATCTTGGGTCTGTTTGAACTGATCCAACTTTTGCATTCTGGGCTTGAAAATCACCTCCCTGGCTTTTATTAAATACATATATATTAAATGTATTTTAAGTATTGTTTATATTTAGAGGATGTGGCTGCCATAATCAAATGGGCCTTTTCTAATTTTATTTTATTTTATTTGCCCAAAAGCAGTTTAGAACACGCAGCCCATCAGAGTGGGGATGAGGGAGGTATCGGGGGCCGGTTCCAGAGCTGCTGATGAGTAACTGTGTGGCTGCTCCCTGCTCTGTGCTTTAACCTCCTCCTCAGGCAGTTGGGAGATGGTGTAAGTAGAGTGCTCAGAATCATGCCTGCCATGCGGATGCACTCAGCAGGTGAAAGCTTATTATTTAAAAAGGCCTGATAATCACCGGCATTCTGGCCAGTTCCACTGTGCTCCAGAAGCTTTGCATCAGGGGTCGTGTACATTTGTTAAACGTTAAAATAAATAAAACTTTGAAGCTCTTATTCCAAATAGATTTTCAATTTCTCTTATTGCAAAAGCAGTGAAATAGATTTCTTAATCCGTCCCTGTGCCTGAGAGTCAGGCTTGACTGAGGGGCTGGAGCATTAGCGTGTGCGGGGCGGTCCGCGCCAGCAGCTGGGAGAACTCTCCAGTAAATGTGCAAACGTGGTAAGTTTGTGGCATGTCACATCGTTTTCCCTCTCCATCTCTTCCCAATTGCATTTTTAAAAGTAATGCAGTTAATTTTCATGAGCATTTTAAGCCCAAATTAGATCTCATATTGTAAACACTGCAGAAACTGAGAAAGATCTCGTTAACAAAAGCAAATTACTAAACTCTCGCAATTCTGATTCAGACCCACGGAATTCAAACTTAGACGAAGGACATGCCTACTAAATTCATCCCGGCTCCATTTCTGAAGGATTAAAGTGAATGCAGGCATGCTAAGCTACCAGCAGATCTGTGACCGTGGCACCTAATTGCAGCTGCCTTTAAACCTTGAGCAGGTCAATGGAGGCATGATGATCTCAGGGATAATTTGTCTTTTATGTATTTCTATGGTGTGATATATAATCCCTTGCTGAAAGGGTCCTTGTGGATGTCGGCCTCTGCTCCTGGCTGAAATGGAATAAAGAACTAGTAAATAGGTGATTCTTTATTCATCTCTCTTTTGTCCTACATACCGTGGGCCAAGGGATGGAGCTATCCCTCTTAAGTCTGTGATGGGGGCATTCAACCCATAAATGATTCTGGATTTGCTTTATTCCATGATTGGACTCAATTGCATGCTTCTGAAATCTTGATACACTATTATGATAGCCTTGAATAGCCAGAGAGCTGTTTTCCACTTTGCATCTTAAGTCTTACTTTCTCTGCTCACTCTTAAGATCGCTGAGCACCTCAAATAGGGTGGAGTAAAGAGATTTGAAGCAGCAATCATGCTATCTTAAGATGCAGAAGCCAGGGAGGTGAAGAACTCATTTTGTCTGTGTCTGGACACATTAGAAGCCCTCTGCTTAAGTGCGAACAGGCAGGCAGTCAGCAGGGGTTTATGGGCAAACACAGAGCAGGTTATAGGGCAAAACCTCGCTGTAAACATTTCGAGTATGCATTAAACAATGAACAGGGTTTCTTGACCTTGTAGTCTGTTGCCTTTTCTGCCCCCTCACTATTTGTAGATTTGAAGTACTGAGGGATTGGGATGCTCCCAATAGGAAAATGGGGGAAAGTTAGCCAGGTGCCATGGCTTAGGGCAGAATAGGGGAAAAAGCTGTCCTTCAGCCAGGCATTTCGCTCTATCTTCCTGCTTGGTACTGAGCGTTGCGGCATTGTAGGGCACTCGTGACGGCTCCATGCTGAACGCTGCAGAACCAAGCAGAACCCTGGCCTGTGGTCTCACACATCTTGGCTTCTCCTCCCAGTAGGCAGGACACATTCCCTGGGCCTCCCTGTTTTGTTTCCATAAGCTTTCTTTCTTTTTCTTTTTTTTGAGACAGAGTCTCGCTCTGTCGCCCAGGCTGGAGTGCAGTGGTGCAATCTCAGCTCGTTGCAGGGTTCAAGCGATTCTTCTGCCTCAGCCTCCCGAGTAGCTGGGACTACAGGCGTGCGCCACCACGCCCAGCTAATCTTTGCATTTTTAGTAGAAATGGGGTGTCACTATATTGTTCAGGCTGGTCTCGAACTCCTGACCTCAAGTGATCCGCTCGCCTTGGCCTCCCAAAGTGTTGGGATTACAGATGTGAGCCACGGTGCCCAGCCTCCATCAGCGTTCTTTATATGGCTTCAAAACTGCATGGCACAAATACCTCCTCCTGGTCTGAAATCTATTTACCTGCATCTTCTGTTCCTGACCTCCCTCCCTCCAGGTTCCTTTCTTTTCTAATCATTACATAACTAAGGTAGACAAATAGCCGGCATGCAAGCTATTATGTAAGTAAATATGAGAGCCCACAGAAAAGGCCAGCAATTGTGGAGAAAATAATGGGCAAAACTTCAAGGAGGAAGTGTACCTTGAGCATCTGTGAATAAAGTGGGAGGGATGTGGTTGGTGGGTGCAAGGAGGAACATCACATCATTGACGCGTGATGTTGGCCAGGGACGAAGGGGCACGCGCATTGTTTTGGGATCCTTTCCTGCCTTCCACAGTTATGAAGCTCCGTGGCCTTGGAAACATCATTGCAGTTCTCTTGGACTCAGGGTTCTCATCTGTAAAGTAGGGATAATCATACCTGGTTTCCACTGTTGTCATGAGGATTATGGTTAATGAATTAGCACATTAATTGGATAGACATTGGTTGTCAGGTGCTGTGCACTGTGGTAGGCATGGAACCAATCAGACCTTTGAGGCTTCTAGGAGCTAACAGGAGAGAGAGACAAATAAGTTTATAAGCCTGTAAGGAAAACTAACCTGGGCCATGAGGGATGCAAACATAATAACAGAGGCAGGCGTTTTCACAGGGTGGTCAGGGAAGGTTCCCGGAGACTGTGATAATGTCTGTGTGGCACTGTCACAGCTCCTGGCGCAGGGTAAAACCAGCTCTCTGTAGTTCCTTTTATCCCAGGGACACTTGCCTGAGGACAGAATTCCGGGAAGGGCTGTGTGAGAAAGGAGAATGTGGTAGCAACAGGGATTGTTGCTGCAGACTTTCCTGCTCTCTCTTTATGCCCCTGCCTCTTTTCTTTAAAGGGGCAGGTTCGCATGCAAACCTCAGGAGGGGGAGGGATTTGCTCTGCAGTTTGCTGGTTTGTCATGTGTCCTTGGCCTGCTGAACACCATTGTGGCGAGGTGAAGAGGATGCCTGTAAATCATCTCAAGGCTTAGCAAGAATGCGGCCGTCGCAGTGGAAATATTAATAACGTGGCGGCTGGGCTTTGAATTCATGGAATGTTTTTCTCCAAAGTGCTCTGAAGAGAGACAGTAATAGGGCTTGGCATTATGTTCTCTCAGGAGAGAAAAGGAGTGCAAAGGCATTGATGGCATTTGCTAGAAATTTCATGGGTAGAATCAGCCAGGCCTTCCACGTAGGCTCCTGTTGCCAGTTCAGTGCGGTAACTGCCAGGTGGTTTGCTTTAGGGGACATTTGGATGGCACCCTCCTTCTCCTCTGGCTACGTCCTCCCCATACCTTCCAGGCTCAGTGAGCATGCGCCCCAGGAATCCTGTCTGGGCTTGTCACTTCCCCAGCAGAGGCAGACAGGGCTGCACCTCGTATGTTACACTCAGAGGACTGGAGAGCAAAATGGATATTTTTTTTTGTTTGGCAGTTACGGCCAATTCATTATAAAAAGCAGGTCAGACATCACATATTTTCAAAAACCTGTCTCTGATTTAGACCAGGCTATCACCAAAGGACAACAGAAAAAGTATTTTTTTTTAAAGACTATACTTTAAGTTCTGGGGTAGATGTGCAGAACATGCAGGTTTGTTACATAGGTATGCACATGCCATGGTGGTTTGCTGCATCCATCCCCCTGTCATCTACATTAGGTATTTCTCCTAATGTTAGCCTTTCCCAATTCCCCCACCCCCTGCTATCCCTCCCCTAGACCCCATACCATTTGACCCAGCAATCCCATTACTGGGTATATACCCAAAGGATTATAACACATTCAATTATAAAGACACAGGCACACATATGTTTATTGCGGCACTGTTCACAATAGCAAAAACTTGGAACCAACCTAAATGCCCATCAATGATAGATTAGATAAAGAAAAAGTATTTTTTGGAAGGTTTGGGAGACCAGGAGAGGAAAGGGTGAATAGCCAGGATTTTTCCACTGGATCTTCTGAGAGCCCTTGTAGGAGGTGGTTGAATTCCTTGGTCAAAAGTGGGTGTGGCAAATGTTGAAAGGCCAAGTGGGGGTACTTCGGGGTCTTGGGGGCATCAGGTGAAAGGTGGCAGGGCAGATCAAAAGCTCGTGCAGGGGGTTATTATTATTTTTGCATTTGGTTAAAAATTGACAAACTAATTGCTGAGCCCATTGTCAGAAAACTGGCAACCCATCAGAGATGATTGTACACAATTTCTCTCTATTATTCCTAATGAAACTGTCACAGCCTCATCTTCTGTACTTACTGCTCAGAGAGAAATGAGAGTTTTATCTGTTTCTCTAACTCAGCCAGAGAGCATCTGCTGCACTGAACCTGCTCAGGGCTGCTGTGCAGGACACAGGGCTTTTTGAGTATTCCTGACCTGAGCCAGGAAGATGGATGATTTGTTTGCCTGATTGCCTGAGTGAATCTCTTGCCGCCTCTTCATTTCCCACCTTCTCTTCCTTCCAAACACCCTTCTTACTCCTGGCCAGCTCTCAAGATGCAGTTAATCTAAAAAGCAGGAAAACAAAATGGAATAGAAAAACAAAACCAAACTCTTTTAGAAGTGAAACTTTAAATACTAAAAGCTTGAAGCTTCTTGGATTTGGGTATTTTAGTGGGGTTTGGAAAAGACCAAAATGTTCCTTCAAAAACACTTAGAATATTTTCTACTTTCAAATATTGGAATAAACATGTATTAGTAGACTCTCCAGAGTCTTGATTAGAAAAGAGAAAGGTATCCAATATCCCTTCAATCTGGGATATTGTATCTCAGCTCATTTTTCCTGAGCTAGCCCAGATAAAGTCAATATTTCTAAGTTCAGTTCAAAGGCAGGGTTTCCTAAGGTGAGTCAGACACGCTTGTTTTTCCCCTTGGTGAAGGCCTGAACATTGTCTTCTTCTGTCTGTGGGAGGGAGGTTTGTGTTCTGTGATCCCTTCCTCACACCTTCACTCTTCTCATGGTCTTCTGTCACTAGGATACACTTCTCTCTTCCATTTTTTAGCAACAAAATGAGTTCTGGTTCATCTGGTAGATATGTAGATGAGGAAGTCCATTTTAGTGGATTTTCTGTCTCATTAAAAAACCCATTTCTGTGTCAATTGCCTACTATTTACGAAATCATGAGTTTCAGAAGAAATCATAAACAATTAAAGTGGTTGCCAAGCCAGTCAACATGAGCACATTTTATCATTCCAATGTACTCTGTGATGAATCCTTAATAATCTTTCCTTTAAAAAATAAAATGTTCAGTAGTCTCAGTTATTTCACTAGTGGTTGGCACCCATAGCTATAAAGCATGTGTCAGATTCTAATGACACCCAACACTATCACTAACGTGGAGTCTCTGGCTACTGTTGTATTGTTAGTTTTTGAAAAAGAAAAATGACAGTCATACTTTTTTTTCAGAAAGGATTTGAAGACTGGATTAGTTTTCTCTTGCTGCTGTAACAAACAGAGTGGTTTAAAACAACATAAATTTATTGTCTTATTGTTTTGGAGATCCAAAGTCCACAGTGGAACTTAACTTGCTAAAATCAAGCTGTCAACAGGGCTGTTCCTTCTGGGGCTCTGGAGGGGAATCTGTTTCTTTGCCACTCCCACCTTCTAGTGGCTGTCCAGATCCCTCAAGGGAGGCTGCTTCTATCTTGAAAGCCAGCAATAGCACTGTTCCTACTTCTGTTCCAGTCATGGCCACTCCTTCTCTGATTGAGTCTCCTGCCTTCATTTTAGAATGACCCTTGTGATTACTATTAAACTCACATATATAATCCAGGGTAATATCCTTATCTCAAGGTCCTTAGCTTCATCACACTTGCAAAGTCCTGATGCCATGTAAGGCAACATATTCACAGGCTCCAGGGGTTAGGATGTAGACATCTTGAGGGAGGCCATGGTTCTCTCTACCACAGGAATAACAAGAGTAGACTAGAAGATCGGTCTTTATGAATAAGCATTACCAGTACTCTTTTGGATGCTTTTTATTTTTTCCTTGAAACAGTTGTTTTCAGTTCCATACAGGCTTGAAAATGGCAAAAACATTAATTGAATTCCTGTTCAGCTGTACTGTTTGTGATTTACTTCACGTGTATGGAAGCATGGTAGCTTTGTTAGGATGAAAAATTTACTTTCTAATCTTCTTTTAAAGGTCAAGTGGCAAAGAGGACTGGTTTTAAATGCAAGTTACCCACATGGAGCAATTAAGGAGAGATAGAAAGCGGTATGGATTTTAAGGTGTGACATGGGCCAGGTACAAGCGGAGGAGAATTGACTAAGGTACGAGCTCATCTAGGAAAATTTAAATCCTGCCTTGGGAGCACACTTGGATTAATATATATTTATTGTAATTCGTTAAAATATCCTTCTCTTCTAAACTATTTTATTACGTTTGCAATTTGCTTCTCTTTGCAGCCACACATAAACACCAACAGCCAATCTCAGAGGTACATTCTTGCCTAGGCCTCCTTTTTGCTGTCAGTGGGCTGTGTTGACTTACAGCCCACTTTCAGAGATGTATTGAAATTCCATATTAAGTTAAAGGATGCTTTGTAATGTTCGATCTCTCTCCCAGAACAAACAGACCTGACACGGTCCAGGTATCCCTCCCTCTTTTTCCTGATGTCATTTGTGCTTTCAGATCTTCCTCTGCAGCGATTGCTGTTGGTCATCAGCTTGACCATTGGGGCATTTCTAGATTTCCACTGTAGCCTGATTCCCCTGTGGTGTAGGAGGGAGGGAGATTTCAAGACCCAGTCTCGGGAGAGCCTGGCTGGTGGAGCGGAGGCGCTGCCCTGCCCGTGCGTGGCTTGTGAAACATTCAAGATCTGCTTCTCTTGCTCTTTCTGCTGGTGACTGAGGGATGCTGGGTGGACCAAGCAGAGCAGGCAGACCCTCTTTAAGCCGCATGCTGATTTCTTTAGGCAGAAACACAAGCCTTTCTCCATCCCGCGCCCTCTCCTCCTGTGGCACATTCAGGCAATAAAGGGGAGCGATGAAATGCAACCTGTTGGTACTGGCACCTGCTCAAAGGCTGTAGCCTGAGTGGAGGCAGCTGACTGTGCTGGCACCTCCGCCTGGGCTTGGCAAGACCAGAGTGCATTCCATTCTCACCACGGCCTGGAACGGGATCCGATTGCAAGTGGCTATAAAATGATGACAGGGAGAGGCAGGAACCATGGCCCAGCAGAGGAAGGGGAGCGGGAGGCAGCACGGAGAAGAGCCATGCAGTTTAGAAAGGGTGAAAGACAGGGAAATGTTAGGTGCTGGCATTTCTTTTTGTTTGCTTCTTTTTTTTTCTTTCTCTCTTTTGCTTGTTTCAGTCAGGTTGCTCTTGTAGGGGCAGAAAGCTGTGTAGTCATCTTAAGGCTGTCTTATCCTCTGATTTAGTACATACTTCTGCTTAATGAATCATTTCATGCTACTTGCTGATGGGGCTTTCAAAGGCATGGCTTTGGGGTAACAAGTAAAATTAGAAATTATCAGCAGTTATGAGTGATACTCATGATTTTAATTGGCTGTGATCATTGTTGGCTGGGGAGGACCTTTCATGATCGGGAATATCCTTTTAATTTTGGAGAAAATTAAGGAAAAGCATTCATTGACATGTTTTTTTTTGTAGCTTTATAACATTTCAGAAGTTCTGAATAGGAAATCTCAATGGAAATTTACAATTTTATTGTTACTCGATGGTTCTCAAAGTTCAGTGTGCACAAAATTACCCAAGGAGCCTGGAAAATGCAGAATTCTGGGTCCTATCCGCAGAGCTTTGAATCCGATAGATTTGGGTAGGGTCTCTAAATTCAATTTTTAACAAACTCCCAAGTTACCCTGATGCAGGTGGTAGGGATCATGGTCTGAGGAAAACTAGATATATGCCCAGACTTCTTAGCTAATTATGTCCTGATTAGCTCGCTGGCCAACCCCTCCCCATGTGTTCTCATTTGATACAATTTTCTCTAAGCCAGCAGTTGTGTTTTCATGCAGTCCAGGAAGGAGGCTTCTGATAGTGCAGTGTATCACCTGCATCGTTATTTTCAGAGCTTTTGGTCTTAGGTTTATTCCCAGTACAAAGATTGAAGGATGATCTGAAATCAAATACATTTGTCTGGGAGTGGAATGTCTGTTAGATCCAGGTGTTGATTTCCTTGAGCTTGAGTTCTCAGTAAATGTCTTTCCAGTGAGAATTCCAATCAGGATTCTAAAGGTTATATGAAATAGGCTTGATTTCTGGGCTTCCTCCAGGGAGATCACTTAATTTTTATAAGCAAAATTAACTTACCACCACGGCTTGTTTTGTAATCAGCACACGGTTCATATTTTAGGATAAAATGCTATGTTGATTAGTGTGTGAAACAGGTGATCCAGAAAATATCTCTGTGCTGAGAATCTTTAAGGAAGAAATATTTGTACTCTGGAGGATGAAAAGATAGCAAAGCAAAATCTAGGCAGAACTGAAGGGAAGGAAGCTCCGCTAGGAGAGATGCTCGATTTCTACAAGTGCGCTCACATTATTCGACCACTAGGGGGCAGCATTGCACTTTGTTTGGAAAACAGTCTCTGGCACGCAGCCCTTTAAAGGAAAAGAACTTCTAAGTGAGCAAAGCTAAAAACCAGAACATTAGCAAGAACCAGAAAACCAACAACACAGAACCCAAACTCTCTTTGTTATAATGTGCCTGCTAAGTCAGGCACATTATTTTCTTGGTACACAGGTTTTAATATTGTAGTATTAAGACTCTCCAGGGCATACTTTATCGGTCCATTAATATATACTTAGGGGTGGCGGATGATCAGTGATATTGTTTTTCATTTTTCTTACTTTTTGTTTGCCTCTCTCATCTCATCTCACTTGTCCTTGTCTTTCTGTCAAACAACTACTGTCCCATATCTACTTCTTTCAGGGAAGCGGCAGGTCCGGCAACTGGCTGTGCCTGGTTATTGGCTGGTCATTTTGTGGAGAGGGTGGATGTGCATAGAGCTTGGCTGGAAGGGTTTCTCCCTGGTATAAAATCAAGTTTACAACGTGCATGGTTCTGGGAAGTTCCTGGGGGTTGTAGTTCTTTTCCTTTTTTTCTTTTTGACAGGGTCTCATTCTGTCGCCAGGCTGGAGTGCAGTAGTGTGATCTCTGCTCACTGCAGCCTCTGCCTCCTGGGTTCAAGTGATCTCCTCCCTCACCTTCCCGAGTAGTTGGGACTATAGACGCATGCCACCGTGCCCAGCTAATGTTTGTATTTTTAGTAGAGACAGAGTTTCGCCATGTTGGCAAGGCTGGTCTCAAACTCCTGACCTCAAGCGATCTGCCTGCCTCGGCCCCTCAAAGTGCTTGGGATTACAGGCGTGAGCCACCATACTGGGCGATTATAGTTATTTTTAATGCACCCTCACAAATACACTTTTATAGGAGTCAGGCCATCATTTACAGAAAGTGATATAAAATAAATAGATGCTAAAATTTTGTATCTTTGAAATTGACTCATATGATTAATGGTTAAAGTGTGGTTGAATGAAAAATCCAATCACGAGTGTTAAGAATGTAATTTCCACCAGTACGGGGATCATGTCTGTTTGTTCACAGATGATACATCAAGCTCCTAGAACCGTACCTGGCATGGCAGGTGCTCACTAAATGTTTGTTGAGTGAATGAATGAATTTAAACACACATTATGACCAGCTCCCCCTTCCCCTACCTTAGCTTTGCATTTAAGCAATGATTAACTTGGGAACAGAGGCAAGGCTGGTGCATTTACTTAGCTTCCTTTCCTGTCTCAGTCATTGTCTCTTTTATTTCTGGGCTTGTGGAAGTACAATGTCTGAGAGTTTCTTGAAGAAAAGTCCTAAAATCTAGTCTTTTTTTTTTTATTTTTATTTTTTAGATGGATTCTATGTCGCCCAGGCTGGAGTACAGTGGGGCCACCTGGGCTCACTGCAACCTCTGCCTCTCAGGTTCAGCTGATTCTCCTGCCTCATTTTTGCCTTCTGAGTAGTTGGGACTACAGGTGCCTGCCACCAACCCCGGCTAATTTTTGTATTTTTAGTAGAGACAGGGTTTCACCATATTGGCCAGGCTGGTCTCAAACTCCCGACCTTGTGATTCACCCACCTCAGCCTCCCAAAGTGCTGGGAATACAGGCGTGAGCCACTGTGCCCTGTCCAAATCTAATCTTTAAGAACAACTGTAAACCCCAAATATTTTTGTTTCTCTGAAATTTGCAGGTAACATTGCATACAATTATAGCATTCATGCTGCCTTTTTTGAGGTGTTTCATTAAGACTAGACTTGAAGATTGCTCTGTATTAATGCTCTTCTATGAGGAAGACCTCCTATTTTGCTTCCTCCTCCCTCTTCTTCTCTTGCAAGAAACAGTCAGGTTGAGAAACTTGACTTTGAACAGGAGCAGGGCAGGGAATAACAGGCACATGAAGATTAATTACCCTCCTTGGAATCCAGCTTGACTGGGCAAGGTGAGACAGTTCAATTATTTAATCATGTTGGTGCTACTGGCTTTCAAATCCTTGAGTGCCAGGATAGCCCTTCCTTTCCATTTAATTCACATGAGGAATTGCTCCTCAACTTGCTGCTCTCAGCTGAACCCTCCGGCGGAGGGAGAGGAGCAGTCTGTTTTGGAAGGAGATGACCCCATCTCCGTATCCTCTTGGGCTGTGTTTGTGAAGAGTTCCCGGTGCTTATTTTGGAAGCCGCTAGATTATCTGTGTCTCTCCTATCCCTGGTAGGCTGCTCCGTTCTGTGTGTAATGGAAGCTTTCTCCTTTGCACATGACTTTTTAAGGCTTTCTTTTGGCTCAAGAATGGCTACCCAAGGAAGCTACAGGTCAGAGCATGTCATTAGACCAGAACATGCAGGAGCAGTGCAGTCCACTAGAACGTTCTGTGATGACAGATGTCCCATAGCTGCCCTGTCCAGTGTGGCAGGCAGTGACCAAATGTGGCTATTAGCACTAGAAATGTGGCCAGTGCAATGAAGAAAATGAAATTTTAATTTAAACGAATTTGAAGTTGAAATGACCTATGGCCAGTGGAAACTATACTGGGCAGTGAAAGACTGGATTGTGCCCGTGATGCCCAACAGAGGTGTGATTTTTGTTTGTTTGTGTGTTTGTTTCGGGGGGTTGACTGTTGCACTGTCACGCAGCAGGGCTCTCTGTCATCCTAGACCCTCTGATATTAACGTGGCCTTTTCATTATATCCCACTAAGGGCCCCTTGTTTCTCACCACGCCCCTCTGCTACTGCATCTTGGCCAAGTCACTCCTCATTAGCATCTGCGAAGGGACACGAGAAGAAAAGTTTGCCTATTCCTTGTCCCACGCACCCCCAACACGCAGGTGGTCAGAGATCTTAATCCCAGTGAGAACTGTATTCTCTCAAAATAAAGCAAATTAGTGGGGTGGACCGTCACCAGATGTTTTAGTTTCATGACCCGTGGACCTGGCAGGCACAGGCTCTGTTCACCATAGATTTTCAAAGTTGTTCAGCGATTTAATGCATATATAAGACCAATTGATAGTTTATCTGTCAAAATGAGTTTTTGAAGAAATGGCCTCATGAACCAAATATCCGTGGTTCCAGCTAGATACAAGAAAGGGATCAAAGCATGAAGTGTCACACTAAGCATGAAAGACAATGCCTGAGCATCCACAAATCTTAGCCATTCAGATCGAGCGCTGGAGTCATAATCAATGACTTCCAATCTCCCTCATCCTCCAGCCTCACCCTGCCTCCAGGCTGATCATCTCATCATTCTCCACACGGACTGTTTCCACCACACGGACGCTGGGTCCTGCGCATTCATGCCCTAGTTGCTAAAATTATACAAATAGAGTGGAAAAAAAAAACAAGTCTGTGAAATCATTCTCTTGGTTCCTGTGGTTTATACTCACTAGTTAATTTGAGCCTTAATGTTGGTCTTTCAGAGTGACAGAAACAGCAGCCAATCTGCTGTTTTACAAGCCAGTGCATATAGCCTCATTGCTAACACCCTTGAAAAATGTCCCTAGAAATGCAGCTCATGAAGAGAGTTCTTTAAATTAAGCTAGATTTGTAAAGAGCCCATTTACTGCCTGACTTAGAGCTAAATCCTGTGGCAGAATGGAATTCGAGGCTAGCTGCCAGGGAACAGAAAACAGCTTGGGTACCAAACCGTGAGCCTGTGAGTGTCAGGGAAGGAGTGAAGTTAGCACAGAAGGCATCCTCAAGTCTGCAAGGAAAGGGAAAAATATGAAAACAGAAAGGAAGTATCTAGAGACAGTGCAGACAGGTTGTCCAGGAAAGTTGGGTCAAGAGAATGAAGAATAAGAGAACAGGAATGAGAAGGAGACGTCACAGGAGAAAAGAAGGATCTAGAGGCAGAAAAAGAGAATTTACCTAGTTCGTTCTTCTGCTTTATCTCATTCAAGAGACGTGACTGAAAATCAAGTCATTTCAGCAAACAACCGGACAGCAGCAGGTCACCAGGCGAAACTCCTTCCCTGCCTGGACGTTAAGTTCTGATTTCATGCAAACAAGTGAGCAAGTGAGCAAGCCAAGCCTCCCCTTATGTGCTGCTTTTTCTAGGTTAATCATTTGCCTTTAATAGGAGGAAGTGTTTTCAGACATCCCAATGTAGTTGATTTCAAATCCCTTGGAGAAGAATTTGAACAGCAATGTGGAGGTGGGTCTCCTGTAACATCTCATGCAAATGCGGTCCCTCTCCATTTCCTCTGCAAATAAAGAGCACATGAGGCCAGGCGCAGTGGCTCACGCTTGTAATTCCAGTACTTTGGGAGGCCGAGGTGGTGGTTCACCTGTCAGCAGTTCGAGACCATCCTGGCCAACATGGTGAAACCCCGTCTCTACTAGAAATACAAAAATTAGCCAGGCGTAGTGGCACACACCTGTAGGCCCAGCTACTCAGGAGGCTGAGGCAGGAGAATCACTTGAACTCAAGAGGCAGAGGTTGCAGTGAGCTGAGATTGTGGCACTGCACTCCAGTCTGGGTGACAAGAGAGGAACTCCATCTCAAAAAAAAAAAAAAAAAGCACATGACTGGTTGATATCCAACTGCAGAACGTTAACTTGCTTTCTGTTTTAGGGACTCTGCCTTTGGTGGGCTTCAAAATCCCCGGCGGGGGGTGCTTATTAAGAACATCGTTGTCTGAGCTCTAGACCCTAGGCATATTCTCAGTGGACGACAGCATCTCTGAAAGAAACCCAGGCTGGGAAATTTTGGGAAATGGAGCAAAACTGTAAAATGTGAAAATTTTTAGGCTTAGAGAATGCAGCAATTTGATACTAGTTAAAAAAAAAAATTCCCAAAAAGAGAGTTTTATGAAATAATTTCTGTATTGGTTGGAAGTTAAGGATAAAGAATAAAAAAGTTTATTTTTCTCTCACATTAAGTTATTGAATAGTAAAGTCCCCCTTTTTCTCCATTTAATTATGGAAGAAAGAACAGACTCCAATTTTACAAGTTGCTCATTCATTTTAGGGATAGCCCAGATGGGGAGCATATTTGTGTTCAGAAATCTCTTTACTTTGGAATATGGTATGTAGGTTCCATCTTTCCTCCAAGCTGGGGCCATTGCTGAGCTTCCAAAGGCCCTTTCTATTCCTGCCACATTCAGTGCCTCTGGAGGGCCAGCCTCCTGCTCAGGACACCAGAGAAGGCGGAAGAGGGGAGGTATCACAGATGGAGGTCTCGGTCCTGCCCAGCCACTCACTGTGTGATGTTGCAACATTACTCTCCAAGCTTTGCTTTCTTCCATTTATGAAACAGGTGTAAGTGTTATCCCTCACTGAGTCGTGATTATTAAATGAAATACGATAGAAAACGTGCTTGGCAGAGGAAGAGGTCGCTAAACATGGCCATCCCTTGGAGTCTTCTCTCCCATTATCTAGCAGAGAGTGGTCTGTCCCCCATAATGCTCAAGTTTTCTCTATACTGTCAAGTGTATTCTTAGAAATAAGCCTCATCTGAAACCCCATCTCAGGTGAAATTGCTGTCCATGTTTATAAGACTCCATAGCCTTCACCCACTCCCAAGAGGCCTTGAGAAACAGGCAAATGCTACGTTTACGTGCTGAGGGTGGGTGGCTGCAGGTCAACGTGGTTGTCAGGACCTGCCAAGTTGTATACACCTGCACGTTGGAAGAACCTTAGGAATTCCCTGGCTTGCTTTACTGTTAAGCACAATTACTTATTTGCAGAGAAGCATGTGTGCTGTAATTTCAAGGATTGACATGTAGAATTTCCAACCGAGCCTTGTCCTTGATCCCTCCTGGGCAATATACAAGATGGAGCGTCTAACATCCTTGTGGGAATTCAGACCTGTCATACTCACTGACAGGCAATCATGATTCTAATGAGGGCAGAAGAATTTAATTCAATAAAAAACCTATTAGAATTGACAGTACAAATGTAAACAGGTCCCTGATGGATAATTTTGCAGGGCCTTCTCTGCTGCTGTGTTTGTTGACAGATACCATAACCAGACGTGGAAGGCAGATGCTCACGTCTGTTCCAACAGGACGGAAGGGATGCGTTCCCCTTTCTTTCACTTGCGGGGCTATACACCACTGGCTTTGAAACCACGGACCTGGTCTTTGGGGGTAGTCTTGTAAAAATTACATTTTTGTCTCATGTTTTGGGGAGGAAGGATCCTTCAATGACTGGAGATGTTCTGCGGATCTTTTTTTTGGTCATTTTTCAAGAGATTCAGGCAGTAAAAAGTGTCTTTAATCAGCTGCTTGTTTCCCCCCGCCCCGCCCCCCGGACGAGACTCTTAGCATATCCTGTAGAATGATTTTATGAATGTCTGGACTTTTATCCTTCATTTTAGCCACTAGATTTTAAAGACTTTTCATTGGACTAGTTTATGAGTTGCTGCCTCATATGTAAATTTTACAAATGTAAATTTTACCCAACAATTCAGAGTTCCATTTTTTTGTAAACAGATAAAATTAACAAGAAAAATTACTCAGCATTATTGCTTGAGAGACTCTGAGACATAGCTATGTCACTGTATCGATAATTCTTCATAAAACCAGTGGTTCTTTTTACCTGGAAACTTGTTCTGTCAAAAAACAAAACACAGCAAAAGAAAAGAAAACAAACAAACCAGTAGTTCTTCTTCATTGTTTTCTATTGCTTCAGAGTAGAGATGACGGAACGTCTGTTCTCCTTAGAATCAATCTACACATTGGCCTTACAAAAAAACATATTTGGTTTATTAATAACATCAGGAATAAATTTATTCTCAGTATGTGGATGTTCTCTCTATTTTCCTATTTTTAAACCTTTGCTTCAAAATTGACCAAATCATTACTCATCTTGAAGTTTTGAGATTTATATAAAAAAGCAAGAGAACCATTTCCCAGCCTAGGGGTTTTCCCTCTGTGGGCTTTGTCCCTCCAGGAGGGAGAGTGTCTGCAATATTGTTGTAATGGATCTGGAAAGCTGTATTTGCACGAAGCGTCCTCTATCGGTAGGAGAAATAATATCTTAGAGACAAATGTCATGGTAATTTTTCTAATATATGTAGACACTCTGAGGTTACATATAATACAAATTCAGTCTTTTTGTGATTATGAATTTTCTCAATGAATAGACACTGAAGGACAGCTCATATCATGTGGGGGAGAAGAGGTACCATGACATTTTTGACACTGCAAAAGGGCTTAGTCTTATATTTCTGAATATGGGGAGTCCTGGCCCTAAACCAAAGTCAGATGACCAAGTGAGTGTCCTGAGTCTAAACCTTTACTGAAATCATGAACACACTGGTTATTAAGATGTTGTCCTGGGCGGGGAAGGGACAGATGCTTCCTGCAGCAATTCATCATTGTTGCAAGGGCCTCCTTGGCAGGCTGTCGAGGTATTTGCATTTACTCTGCCTGCTGTGAGCAAACAGAACTTAATGTTTATTACATTTTTTTTTTGGTGACAGAGAATTTTCATTTTCCAGGATTGCTTTCCTTTTGCCTCATTTTTTACTTATTAGTTCACTTCTGTGTTCTTGCTTGTGACTGCTCTGCCTCCACAAATTAAAGTTCAGGACCTCATAAAGAGAATCCAGTGTTGCTTATCCAAAGCCATTCTGAAGTAAGATAGGAAGAATCTCACATCTCCTGAGTGACTGCTACGCGTTAGGTTTAAACCTTTATCTCTCATAGAATATCATAGTCTCCGTTATCATAGAGAGAACTCTGGGGCTTGAGGGGAGTGAACTTGCTGGTAGTCGCTGCAGAGCATGTACGGAGCCCAGTCTGAAGACTTCTAAAACTCATGTTTTTCCTTCCCACCCTTCCTTCATCTCTTCCTCCCTCTCTTCCTCTTTTACTTTTTCCTCCCTCCCTCCCTCCTGTTAGGTGCATTGTTTGCCTAAAGAGACCACTAAGTAGGCTTGGTGTGGGCAACAAGGCCATTTCATTTAGTGCTTGGGTGCAAGTGGGCCAAATCTGAGAAAGGAGTTAGGTGAGGGGCATAGGAATGGGGACTGCTTATATAGGTTGGGGCAAATGGTCAGTTAAAGGTAGTTATCTATTTTAGGGAAGGGGAGGGCATCATAGGGTGCGTGGTCACAAGGGGAGGAGTTTCTATTACAAACAGACATGGTCATAAGGGTGGGGGTTATTGGTTGCAAGCAGAGGGAAGGGTGCGGTTACAGGGTTGGGGCTCTTGAGAAACCTAATGTCTGGGGGGAAATTTCACAAGGCTGAGCAGGAACAATGGTGGAATGTTGTAGGGGGAGAGCAATCAGTTGAGGCAGGAACCAGTTGTTTCACTTCTCTTCATGGCCATCTGGTTACTTCAGACTTTCTGGCTCCTGGAGACCATTAGGAGGTGTATGTGCAGGTTACCAGGGCTATAATGGCCAGGCTTGAACTTGGAGACCTGACATTTTCCTCTCTCCCTCCTCCTTCCTTCTATCCCTCCCTCCCTCCTTCTCTTCCTTCCTTGCTACCTTTCTCCCATCTCCACAATACCTTAGGACTATTCACCACTCTGGACTTTTAAATGAATTTATGTTTGTTGTGGATACATAAGCTTTATTTTCCACTCAAGATTTTGCCTATACTGTCAAATAGATGCAAGTCTGTTGTTTTTGAGAATTTTTTTTGATGCCTAGGAAAATTCTAACTTGAGATCTATTTTGGGTTTATATTTTTGGAAACCTGCTGATGAACAGTTCTAAATATATTGGAAAGTGAAGTTCCATGCTTTATGTTGCTGGAGAAAACGTGCCATAGGAACAACAGAAACAAATCCCAAATGTAGACTCTTTTAACCAACAACGATCCTTTTGCTAATAATGTTTACCTCTGTCTTAACATTACTGTCTCACATGATTGAAGTATTTGAATGCATTGACCTCAGTGCCTCTTTTGTGCTCTGATCCTCTTTTTGCAGCCCTCTGTATTGACAGTCGATGAACAATATATTTAAACATATTGTCAAACCATGCTTCTTTGCCATTTCCCTTTTGATCTACGTCTGTTTCATCAAAATTAATTCTGTAATTTTCCCATGTCTTGTCAAGACTTTGAGCCAGGAACGGTAATGGACAGCTCACAATCCTGACCTTCGCCGCCTCTCACATTCTTTTGCAGAAGTGCTTAAAATAGTAAACAGCAAGTTGAGAATTCCCCTTGGTGGAGGAGCTCTGCTGCTTGCTTCCATTTGCATGCCTGCGGGCCTGTTCCCTGGTAATTCAGTCATATGTGCCTGTGCAAGTGTGCGTC